TGCTCCGTGTCAGTATGGGTCTGGAAATCACCATGGCCTCAGGTGGCAGCACAGACCATTCAGATCCATATGGCCCAGCAGTAGTATGGTTCATGGAAATCAACATGGCTTCAGGGGGCAGTGCAGACCACAGTCATATGCATGACCTTTTATGCTAACATGGGCCACAGACATCAACAGAGACCCTAGCTTCAGTAGGATCATAGATTCAGACATTTCCTTCGGAGGTAACACAGATAGAGACATCACTCATGGTATTAGGTGGCAATGCAGTCCACTCACATCAGACTGGTCCTCACTGCTGCTACATGTTGTCACATCTCCAGATCTGCCTCTTTACACAGTGCATGTACTTCTCCATTTTTCTATCTTTCCAATCTCTCCATCAACTATTTGCTCTTTATAGTGGTGCCCACCACCTGTCCCATGAAGTCAGGGTGGCCTGTGTGTCTTCTGCTGCCAAATGTTTTTTTTTTAAAATAATCCATTAAGTCTAGTTAATGACACACATGTGAGCATGAGTGTAGGCAATTCAGACATGGGAACCACAGAATCCTATCAGTAGCCAGACACTCAAAAAAGAATGATGCCCTCTCCCAGAAGCTTTTGGCTATCAGTTGTTCCCCAGTAAGGTCTGTGCCTACAGAGATCACTTCCCACATCTCCCCGGTCTATACTGGATCTTTGATTCTATTGGTCATTTGCAAGATAACCACAGCTGCTGTGAATGTGATAGCCAAGCTATGTCCAGAGAATATCATTTCACACTTCTCTTCACATTTGGCTCTTTTATTTTTTCTGCTTCCTTTTCTGTATTGTTTCCTTAGCCCCAGTGAGAGGGGCTTAATATTGATATCCCATTTAGACCTGAACACTCAATAGTCTATGCTTATTTATTTTTTGTTTCAAAGCTCTCATTCCTCATATTTTAATGTTAGTTCTAGGGAGCACCCTCAAAATTACTCTTCTTGAAAGACATTTCTCTTTTTAGTTTCTGCTAACTTTGGATCACAATGTAATGGAGGTGGTTAGTAGTAATGGATCACAAGTGGAGGTTGGGTTACATTTTTTTGTGTGTGTTGCTTTGTCTCTTTTATGCACTTTTTGGAGTGTTTGTTATGACTTCCTCTTCTCCTGAGTCTATTAGGTTGCTCTGTTTTCTGTGACTCTTCCTAGGGGAATAACTGCATGCAGTTCAGCTAGGGGGCTGATGAAACACAGATGGATTGCTGATATCATCCTGTGTTGGCTATATGCCAATAGGATCAAGAGTGAGGCTGGACACTCAGCACTAAGGTGACTAGGTGGAGTCAAAGCCTCAATTATACCTTGGGTTCTAGGAATCTTCTGGACTCATTTCAGATCGAGTAAAGTCTGTCTACTATCTGAAACTTCAATTAAAACCACAAGCCAAGAATATCTTCTGGAACTACAGTTGTACAGAGTGTCAAGGTTCTGTAGCATCGATTGGAACTTTAGCAATGGGAAGACAGCTCTCACAATGACCAAAGAGACCAAAGCTCCATTTTTTAAAAAAAGATATTCTTCTCTCATACAATATATTACAACTGCAGTTTCCCTTCCCTCCACTCCCTTCGGTTCTCCAGCATCTTCCCTCTCCCCCAGCACTTCCATTCCTCCTCTGTTTCTCTTCAGAAAAAGCAGGTCTCCAAGAATATCAGTTGAACATGGCACAAGAAGACACAATAAGACTAGGCACAAACCCTCATATCAAGCCTAAGTGAGGTAACCCAAGAGGGGGAAAAGGTCCTCTGAACAGCTGAAACATCAGATATACCCAACTCCCATTAGGAGTCCCATAAAAACACCAAACCAACCACTACAGCATATATGCAGAGGACCTAGCTCAGGCTCATGCAGGTTTCATGATTTCTACTTCAGTCTCTGTGCAAAGCTCAACTCCTTTATGGGATCCTGGACACTAGAGCCAAAGCTCAGCCCTGCACTGACCTCTGAGGCCACTGAACTAGAGTCATAGTCACTCAGAGTACTCTCTTGACTTCTACTTTAATATTTAACTTTAAAGATGGTCAAGAATTTTGTATGGCTTGAGTTTGTACAAGTCTTGTGCATGCTATCACAACCACTGTGAGCTCAAATGTGCAACTTAAGAATGCATTTTTTTTACAATTGAATTTAGTGAGATATTTTTTTGTCTCTTTAATTCTAAATGTTAAATTTAGTGAAATAAATATTTGTTCCTAATTGTGTTTTTCAGATTATGCACCTACTATAGGTAAGTTTGTTTTAAAAAAAACTTTTATTAGACATTGTAAAAATGTTGTAGTAAGTGGTGTCATTGGATATTTCATATTTTTAAAAGACAAAATTTTATTTTATGTATATATACAAGGGAAAGTAAGTTCCTTTAAAATAGTTAAGGCTTTTATATGGTTTGAATTTGCATGGGTCTTGTGCATTGCTGTCACAATAACTGAGTTCAAATGTGTAACAGTCCCGCTGTGTAGGGAAAACACTCTTTCCTTATATTCATCCACCGTATACGGCTCTGACATTTTAAAATTTATTAATCATTTTATTTGTTTACATTTCAAGTATTATCCCCCTTCCCGGTCTCCCTTCCATGATCTTCCTTATCCTCCTCCTCTTTGCCTCTACAAGGGTGCTCCCCCACCTACCTGCCCACTACTATGTCACTCTTCTAGCATCCCTCTTATCTGGGGCATCTAGTCTCCACAGGACCAAGTGCCTCCCCTCCCACAGATGCTAGATAAGTCAGTCCTCTGCTACATATGTATTGGGAGCCATAGACAGGCCCATATACTCTTTGGTTGGTGCTTTAGTCCCTGGGAACTTGGAGGGGTCCAGTTAGTTGGTACCGTTGTTCTTCCTATGGAGTTGCAATCCCCCCTTCAGCTCCTTCAGCCCTTTCCCTAACTCTTCCATTGGGATCCCCAGGCTCAGTCCAATGATTGGCTGTGAGTATCTGCATCTGTTTTAGACAGATACTGGCAAAGCCTCTCAGAGGACAGCCACACCAGACTCCTGTCTGCAAGCACATCTTGGCACCAGCAATAGTGAGTGTTGGGGATTGGTGTTTGCAGATGGAATGGATCCCAAGGTGAGGCGGTCTCTGAATGGTCTTTCCTTCAGTCTCTGCTCCATTTTTGTCCCTGCATTTCCTTTAGACAGGAGCAATTCTGGATTAAAATTTTTGAGATGGGTGGGTGACACCATCCTTCCACTGAGGGCCATGATTATCTTCTGGAGGTGGTCTCTTCAGGTTCTATCTCCCTGATGTTGAGTATTTCAGCTAATGTAATCCCCAGTGGGTTCTGGGAGCCTTTCAAGTCCCTGGCATCTGAGACTTTCTAGTGGTTACCAAATTCCCCACACCTCATTGCTACTTATTTCTATTCATTCTCCTGGCCCTCTTAAATTCTCTCCTTTCCCTTCATATACATGGTCCCACCACATTTTTTTTCTTCCTCTCTCCTCTTCCACCAGGTCCCGCCCTCTCTCTGCCTCCTGTGATTATTTTGTTACACCTTCTAAAGGATTTGAAGCACTTTGGCCTTCCTTCCTGTTAAGCTTCATATGGTCTATGAGTTGTAATGTAGGCATTCTGAGCTTTTGGCTAATATCCACTTACCAAGGAGTACATGCCATCAGTGTCCTATTGTGTCTATGTAACCTCACTCAGGATGATATTTTTTAGTTCCATCCATTTGTGCACAAAATTCATGAAGTGGTCATTTTTAATAACTGAGTAGTATTATATTCTGTAAATATACCACATTTTCTCTATCTATTCTTCCACTGAAAGACATCTGTGTTGTTTCCAGCTTCTGGCTCTTATAAATAAGGCTACTATAAACATAGTGGAGCACATGTCCTTGTTATATGGTAGAGAATCTTTTGGGTAAATACCTAGTATAGCCGGGTCTTCAGGTAGAACTATCTTCAATTTTCTCAGAAACCACCAGATTGATTGCCAAAGTGGTTTTACCAGCTTGCCATCCCACCAGCAACGGAGGAGTGTTCCTTCCTCTTTCTCCACACCTTGGCAGCATCTGATGTCACCTGAGTTTTCAGCCATTCTGACTAACGTGATGGAATCTTGGGTCCTTTTGATTTACATTTCCCTGATGCCTAAGGATGTTGAACATTTCTTTAGGTGCTTCTTGGCCACTCAAAATTCCTCAGTTGAAAATTCTTTGTTTACCTTTGTATCTCATTTTTAATTGGGTTATTTGGTTTTCTGGAGTCTAACTTCTTGAGTTCTTTGTGTATTTTAGATATTAGCTCTCTATCTGATCTAGGGTTAAGATCTTTTCCCAATCTTTAGGTTGCTATTTTTTCCTATTGACAGTGTCTTTAGCCTTACAGAAGTTTTCCAGTTTCATGAGGTCCAGTTTGTCAATTTTTGATTTTAAATCATGAGCTCTTGGTGTTCTGTTCAGGAAACTTTCTCCTGTGCTGATGTGTTCAAGGCTTTCCCCCACAGTTTCTTCTATTAGATTCAGTGCATCTGATTTTATATGGAGGTCCTTGATCCAATTGGTCCTGAGCTTTGTACAAAGAGATAAGAATGAATCAATTTGCATTCTTCTACATGCAGACTGCTAATTACACTAGCACCATTTGTTGAAAATCTCTTTTTTCCATTGTATGTTTTTGGCTTCTTTGTTAAAGATCAAATGATCAAAGGTATGTGGGTTTATTTCTGGGTCTTCAATTCTATCCCATTGATCTACCTGTCTTTCTCTGTACATATCATTTTGGTTTTTTATTGGATATTTTATTTACATTTCAGATGTTATCCCCTTATCCCATTTCCCCCCCTCCTGCCCAGGAACCCCCTATCACATCCTCCCTCCTCCTGCTTCTATGAGGATGTGCCCCCACTTATCATATTACTCCCACCTCCCCACCCTCAAATTCCCCCCACACATGGTGTCCAACCTTCATGGGACCAAGGATCTCCTCTCCCACATATACCTGACAGGACCATCCTCATTTACATATACAGCTGGAGCCATGAGTCCCTCCCTAAGTGCTCCCAGGCTGGTGGTTTAGACCCTGGGGGCTCTGGTTGGTTGCTATTGTTGCTCTCCTCATGGGGTCACAAACCCTTTCAACTCCTTCAGTCTTCACTCTAACTCCTCCATTGGGAACCCCATGATCAGTTCAATGGTTAGCTGTCAGCATTTGCCTCTGAATATGTCAGACTCTTGCAGACTCTGTTATTATTACTCTTTAGTACAACTTGAGATCAGGGATGGTGATTTCCCCAGTTTTTTTATTGGTGCAAATTGTTTTTGCTGTTCTTTTTTTTTGTTATTCCAGATGAAGTTGAGAATTGTTATTTTTATCTCTGTGAAGAATTAAGTTGGAATTTTGATGGGGATTGCATTCAGTCTGTAGATTACTTTTAGTAAGATGGCCATTTTTACTATTTTAATCCTACCAATCTATGAGCATGGGAGATCTATCCATCTTCTTAGGTCTTCTTCATTTCTTTCTTCAGAGACTTAATTTTCTTGTCATACAGATCTTTCAGTTGGTTGGGTAGAGCTATGCCAAAAATTTTTATTATTTGTGATTTTAAAGGATATTGTTTCCCTAATTTCTTTCTGAGTTCATTTATCTTTTGTGTAGAGGAACGCTACTTATTGGTTTGAGCAAATTTTGAAAAATATTGGTACTAGGTCTTTTTTGAAGGTCTAATAGAATTCTGCATGACATCTGTCCAAGATCTTCTGACTTTTAGAGTCCCTGTTAAGAAGTCTGGTGTAAGTTTGATAGATCTGCTTTTCTATGTTATTTGGCCTCTTACAATTTGTAATATTATTTCTATGTTCTGTATATTTACTGTTTTGATTATTGTGTGACAGAAGGATTTTTTTTTCTGGTCTAATCTGTAATCTATTTGGTGTTCTGTGTGCTTCTTATATGTTTATTTCCATCTCTTTCTTTAGGTTAGGGAAGTTTTCTTCTATGATTTTGTTGAAGATGTTTCCTGGCCCTTTGAATTAGGAATATTCACTCTCCTATAGTCTTATTATTCTTAGGTTTGATCTTTTCTTTGTATCCTGAATTTTCTGGATGTTTTGGGTTAGAAGCTTTTTGCACTTTGTATTTTTTGATGGTTGTGTCAGTATCTTGTATGGTATCTTCTACTCCTGAGATTCTTTCTTCTATCTCTTGTATTCTGTTGGTGGTATCTGCATTTTATAACTCCTGATCTCCTTCCTAGTTTTTTCATCTCTAGCGTTGCTTCCCTTTTTGATTTCTTTTATTGCTTATTTTCATTTTTAGAACCTCAATGGTTTTATTCAATTCTTTCACATGTTTGCTTGTATTTTCTGTATTTCTTTAAGAGATTTATGTGTTTCCTCTTGAAGGACTTCTTTCTATCTGTTTACCTTTGTTCTCCTGTATTTCCTTAAGGAAGTAATTTATGTCCTCCTTAAGGTTATCTTATCATGTTTATGAGATGGGATTTTAGATCAGAATCTTGCTTTTCAGGTGTGTTGGGGTATCCAGGGCTTCCTGTGGTGGGAAAACTGGGTTCTGATGTTGTCAAGTGGCAATGGTTTCTGTTGGCTATGTTTTTGTGCTTGCCTCTCACCATCTGGTATGTTTCTGACTGGATCCTGTCCCTCCTGTGAGACTGGTTGTGATGGACCTCCTGGGAATCAAGCTGTCTCTTAGTATGGGAAGGGGTCTTTCCCAGGGTCGAGTTGTTAGCTGGAAGGAAAATGTGTCTCCAGCAGGGCAGGGAAGATAATGCCTGCCTTACCTAGGCCCTGTCGGGGTCCAGTTAGGCCAGCTATTCAGGCAGGGGTGTCTCATTCACCTGTGAGCCTGGTTGTGGTGGATCTCCTGGGAGTCAAGCCATCTTTTGGTGTGTGTGGAGGGGTGGAGGGGATCTGGAGCACTGGCTCTGCCCTGGGCTGTCTGACAACATTTCTTCTCCCTCATTCACAATAATCCCTGAGCCTGGGGAGGATGGAGTGTGCTACAGATGTCCCACTTAAGGCTGAGCATCATACAATGTCTTGTTCTCTGCATGTTGAGCAGTTGTCTGTTAATTGCTACCTACTACAGAAGAAGCTTTTATGATGAGGGTTGAGTGCTTCAGTAATCTATGAGCATACCAATAAATTCTTAGGAGTGGTCAGGGAAGAAATAGCTAAGGAGGTATTGATAATTGATAGCTGCTGAAAGTGCAAAAGTTAGTTCTCTTAAAGTGGCCATTCATGCTACAGTGAATGGCCACTTACCCAGTCATATATAGGGCATAAATTTAGGTGAGTATAGAATGGGGTGTGAATCGGGGAGAACCTACTGTAGGGAAAAAGTATTATAAAAATATAATATATTAAGTTCTCAAAGACTTAAAGAAGTATTAAAATTTTTTTTAAAAAGTGATTTTATCACTATCCTTAAGCAATTAAATTTGTCATTATGGATATATCAGACTGTTATTTTTTTTACTCAAAGATTGAATACTTCAAAAAAATAACAAATCAGACTTTTCTGTGTCTGCTCATATGGTCAATTTTGGTAACAGCTTAATATACTACAAGGCATGTTTTTCTTTAAAGTTTCCTTAATGATATGATTGATATTTTATCTTTAATTCACTAGTTTAAAAAGAGTTATTTTGCTTTTAATTGTGTATATGTGTGTGTATGTCTGCATGTGGGTATGTATATATTAGTGCTGGTGCCTACTGAGGCCAGGAGAGGGCATTGGATTCCCTGGTCCAGTCTTACTTGTTCTTTAGGCGTTATAATCTTTCTCTCCCTCATCCATGATGTTCCTTGAGCCACAAGGAAAGGGTATATGATATAGATGTTTCATCTGTGGCTGAGCACTTCATAGACACTTATTCTTTGCACTTTGACCAGATGCGATTTGTAATGCAATTGGATTTTTAATTAGAATGCCATTCCAACTAAACCCATAAGCAGAGGACTATATATTGTCAAAAATACTAGTTAACTCAACTGGAAATGGAATCTCTAATATATGTGATATTATGAAAGAGAAATAACCTATAAGCTGGTATAAAATAATAGGCTACTAGTAAAGCTGGCAAAAAATCTGGCTTTGTGGTTGATATGAGATAAATATCTTATAAATACTTTTTCTAGATTATTGATGCTAAGAGCTATTCAGACATTGATAAAAGAGGAAGTGCTACTCTGTTTTACATGGATGATGAAGTACTTTAGAATGAAGTCATTAAGAAATGTATAGGATGAGTAGAAAGCCTGTCAAGAATTTCCCCAGTGAGGATCTGGAAGAATGGCTAAGTACTTGCCACATCCACAAGGCCAAGGTTCGATCCCCAGCAATGAAAAAGGATGTAGGATTTCTATAAAGTAAATCATTTCAAGAGCATAAAACTAGATCTGAAAACAGAACCTGTATGATATCTATGGTGGTTTAAATAGTTATACCTCCCATAGACGAATGTGTTTGAATGTTTGGCCCATAGTGTGTGCCACTATTAGGAGGTGTGAACATTATTAGAGTAGATGTGGCCTTGCTGAAGGAAATGTGTCACTATGGGGGTGGTCTTTGAGGTCTCTGATGCTGAAGCTACACCTTGTGTGATACATAGTCTTCTGCCTGTGGATCAAGATTAAAAAAAAGAGAAAAACCTCTCAGCTCCTTCTCCAGCACCATGTCTGTCTATGTGCTATCATGCTTCCCATGATGATAATAATAGACTGAACCTCTGAAACTGTAAGCCAGTCCCAATTAAGTATTTTTCTTCAGAAGAGTTGCTGTGGTCATGCTGTCTCTTCCTTGACATAATCTCATGCCAATACTGCTCTTCCTCATATTAACATATCTATTAATGTCATTTTCCAGAAGAGTCTGTCTTAAAGTCTATGGTTGAAATGAACTTTACTTAAGTTTTAATTTTTCAGAGTCTGTAATTAGAAATCCAGAGACTGAAGGTAAGTTGATCAGAAAATTTTCATTATTGATATATGTTCTTTCTCTTTTACATGTTTTTCTTTATTTTAATTTTATGTGTAATTTTATGTGTTTTTCCTGTCTGTATGTCTGTTCAGCACATGAATGCCTACTCTCAATGGAGGCCAGAAGGCATCAAATTCCCTCCAATTGAAGTTACAAATGGTTGTGGGCAGACATATAGGTGCTGACAACTGAACCCAGGTCCTTAGGAAGAGCATGCAGTGCTCTTAACCACTGAGCCATCTCTTTAGTCCCTGTGTGTTTTCTTCTGATTTCATAAAAATGTGAACTTAATAATTTGTTTCTAGTAATTTTTCTCTCTTTTTTCATAAAACATTGAATATGGTCCTTTTAAACAGATAAAAGAGTAAAATATGCCCCCATGAATTTTTACTGTCACTAAAAATTTATACTTTTGCCGGGCGGCAGTGGCACATGCCTTTAATCCCAGCACTTGGGAGGCAGAGACAGGCGGCTTTCTGAGTTCAAGAGTTTGAGGCTAGCCTGGTCTACAGAGTGAGTTCCAGGACAGCCCGGGCTACACAGAGAAACCCTGTCTCAAAAAACAACAACAACAAAAAAATTATACTTTTAAATTTCTGCCATTCTAATAGGGAATGCCAGATTTAAAAAATTCATATAGAAAATCAGCCAATAATAATTTGGGATATTACAAACAAGATAGTACTGAAGTAGAAAAACACTTTGTTTTATAATCAGTTGTCTAACCATATTGCAGATGTTTTAATATGAAAAAATGTGGTATCAGCCTAGGTGGAGTCAAATAAATAATATTTTTAAAGTTTGTGGGATCAAGGCTGTGGTGGTTTGAATAAAAATAACCACTATAGGCTCATAGGGAGTGGTACTATTAGGAACTGTATGTGGCCTTGTTGGAGGAGGTCATTGGGGGTGGGCTTTGTTGTCTCAGAAGCTCAAGCCAGTTTACTTCCTACTGTAAAACTCTCAGCTCCTTCTACAGCACCATATCTACCTGCATGCTGCCATGCTGGCTCCATGACAATAATGGACTAAGCCTCTGAAACTGTAAGACCAATGAAATGTTTTCTTTTATAAGAGGTGCCAGATTCATAATGTCCATTCACAGCAATAGCAACCCTAGGACCCAAGCCTTGACTGGTTTGTCACAATGGTGCTCACATTTATAATAATGGCTTTGATCTCTAAAGTAAGGGATTCTGAGGAAGCACTCACCTTTTAAAAGGAATTACACTTAGTTTTTAGTTATGCATGTTCTTGTGTCTGTATTTGGGTGTGCTCATGTGAATGCAAATGCCTGTGGAGACCAGATGTATAGGATCCTCCCTGGAACCTGAGTTACAGGAAATTGTGAGTTGCCACACTGGGGTGCTTAGAACTGAACATGGATCCTCTGCAATAACAATAGGTACTCTTAACCACTGAGCCATCTCTTTAGCCCTGAAATAACTCACTTAAAAATTTAAAATAGAATAGTTTTAGTAAAAAAAAAATATATATAAATCTAATACATTTAAAGGAAGGGGGTATGTGATTAATTAAAAGTGTGTTATATAAAATGGTTTATATTTGTCAATTTCATATATGTAAACAGTGTATTTTGATTGTATCCATCTCTAACATTCCATCCATCCCACTTCTCACATTCCTAACACTCCTTTCCTCCTTTCATGTCCTCTTCATTTTTTTTCCATTTTGGCAACTAATTATTTGCCAAAATTCACTCATTTTTGCAATTAGAGATGCCTTCTGGAATGTTGACTGATCTGTTGGCTTGATGCTAGGCAGCTCATCACAGCTGCAATGGCCATGGTATGTCTAGAAGACAACATCCCACAGCTCTCCTCCCCATCCTTATGACTTTACCTTTTTTATACCCCTTTTATAACATGTGTTGTGTGGGTGTTGACATATATGTCTCATTTAGGGCACGAATTCATTTTAAAAAACACTCTACTAATACATTTGGGAACAGACAAAGAATTTTTATTTTCTTTTAGATGGTGTATGCGTCTTTCCATTCTGGTATAGAGGTGAAATATTCTATGACTGTGTCAATTTCAATCTGAAACACAAATGGTGTTCTTTGAACAAGACTTTTCAAGGTTACTGGAAATACTGTGCTCCTTCAGGTAAGTGCTTGACTCACAGATAGGAGGGTCATCCTTTGTCTTGGGGACCATTTGATGTGATAGACAAGAACTCAGAATCCAGAGAAATTCTGTTGTGAAAATAATAGGCACACAACTTCTTTGTTGCTGTTGAGTGAATGTGTATGTTGTAAGTGTGGGTGTGTACCTGTGAGTATGTGGAGGCCAGTGGTCAATGTCATGCATCTCCTTCTATTACTGTTTACCTTTATTATTGTTATTTATTTTTTTGAGACAAGGTCTCTCATTAAACTTGGAGGTTGCTGATTTGGTAAAAGTACCTGTTCAGCAAGCCCAGGAGATTTACTTCTCTCTACCCTCCCCTAAAGTTGAGATTGGAGGCATGTGATATTACATCTGGATTTCTATTTGCATCCTAGGCATCTGAAATTGGGTCCTCATCCTTGCATAGTGAGGACTTTAGATACGGAACAGTCTTCCAACTACACAAGGTGCATAATTTCTGACAATATGAAAGTCACATAGAGTTAAAGATGTATTAGAGGTGTTTTTGATTCCATCATCTTGATAAAATACTCCTAGTAAAACATCAAAGAGAAATGACTTGCAAGGTAGTAGCAATCTCATTTTCATAAGCTACATGGACTAGGGAAGAGCAGATTGTGCAGAAATGTGCGTGCGTGTGTGTGTGTGTGTGTGTGTGTGTGTGTGTGTGTGTGTTGCAAAAAAGGAAAGTGTTCCTCTTCCCACTGACTCTTCCTTTTACAGACTATGCTCCATGTACCTTTCCCTTCTGGTACAGACGTATGATCTACTGGGATTGCACAGAGGATGGGGAGGTGTTTGGAAGAAGGTGGTGTTCACTCACCCCAAATTTCAACAAAGAACATGTTTGGAAATATTGTATATAATGGTGAGATTTATTGGATGATGATGATGATGGTGATGATGATGATAATGATAATGATGATAATTGGTTGTGGGGAGAAGGAAGAAAATTACTAATTCTTCTTGGAAAGGACTTTCCTTCCTTTCTTTTGGTGAAGAGGGGAAGAGATTGAGTTTTCATTACAAGTTTTCATTTAAATTTAAAGCTTCTTTTTCTTGGATGAAAGTTGAACATGCTCTGACTATAGATGACTTAGGATGTAGATGATGGATTGTGACATTTTAAAATGGAGAGTTATTGTTCAGCCTTCACTTTCTATTTGCTATGTGTATAAAATGAAGCCATTAAAAATCATATCAGGGTCAAAGCAGTCTGTAGAGTTTTTTCTTTAGTTGTTATAGTTACACTACTCAGTTGGGGACATTGATAATAGGGGACATGATACATGTGTTGGGACAAAGGGAATATGGGAAATCTCCATAAATTCTTCTTGATTTTGCTTTCAAGATGAAAGGGTATAGTTAAGTCAATTAGAAGTTTACTGCTGAAAACAGGCCAAATTTTGAGAACACAGTTCTTCCCCTTGCTCTGTGTCCACTTTGCTTTATACCTGAACCAAGTCAAATTGTGCTCTTCCCTTTCCCCTGATAGCATCATTTGTATCTGACAATGAAGAACGCACAGTAAATGCCTCATATTTTCATCCAAAAAGGGAACAACTGACCCATAAATCCATTTTCATAGAAGAAAAGGGAAACCCCACATTTCTATGTGTGCCCTGGAAATATCACAGCAACAAAAAGCAGCTTTGGAATACTCTACTGGGAAGCAAAAGCTTCTTAAATTTTCTAAAAGGTGAAGTCTACTGAGCAGAATTCAAAGATAGATTTTGAAGAGAATACGCTGAGTAATTTTCAACACTAGACAGTAGGAGCCACATCTGGTACTGTGCAAGTTGGTAGGCATTATAACTGTCTCCTATTTCATCCAGAACATGAAGGGGACTATATAAACTACCACCATAGGATTGGTGCTATATGTAACAAGATAATTGGAATAGATGCAGTGAGCTTGTCAGCATGATCACATGACACCTGGCTTGGTGGAGGGTTGACAGGATGCCAGGTCTTATGTTCACTTAGAACCCACGTAACAATTTTTATGCCTATCTAGGCCTTGGCTCTTCTTGGCTGTTAGGTAAGTGCACCTGACATCAACACCCACTTGGTTCCTAAAAGGATAAATCTAAGAATATGTGTGTTAGAGGTTTGCGTCTGTGTCCTTTCTTATCCAGGAAGCAATGACAGTAGTTCCTGAAGCTGTCTGAAAAACTGTCCGGTCTAGAGCTGGACATAAGAGTTAATGCAAGAACACAATACAAACTGAAAGTCTAGGTCTCTATTCCCAAGCTTTTTGTGCCTTAAATAGGTTCACACTGAGCCCCACTCAGTATCTGCATTTTGCAATGTTCATAATATTTCAGAGAAAGCTGAGGTCTTGGTATATAAGCCAGGTTTGCCTTAAACTGATAAGTTTTCTACCATAGCCTCCCAAGTGCTGTGATTGCAGCACCTCACCATCATGCCTGCTACAATATTGGGGAGATGGCTCAGTGGGTAAAAGTGCTTGCCACCAAGCCTGATGACCTGAGTTCTATATAGTAGAAAGAGAATCCGTATAGTAGAAGGGGAGAGAACAGGCTACTGCATGTTGTCTTCTAACCCCTTCTTCCTTCCATACAATTAAAGATAATTAAATGTAATTAAAAATTAGACACCCCGGCAGTGGGAAAAGGGACACCTTGTTGTTGCTGCTTTTCTTAAATCAGTCAGGGGCAGAGCAGTTGGCAGCCCTTTGTTCACCCTAGCCTAATGCCTGGCTTGATGGTCAAACCGTTCTTATGCCTAGGACTCATAAAAATCAAATCAAATCAAATCAAATCAAATCAAATCAAATCAAATCAAGTCACATCCAGGCAATGCACTGTAGGAAGAGGAAAACAGAGACCTGCAGATCACCATATTCACCCATAGGCCTGCCCTCCAGGGCATGGCTTAGAGGGACCATAGACACCCACTTGCTGCCATGCCATATAGCACAGATGGAGGATGTCACCAAGAGGCCTGCCAGCCGTGTGACCAGCCTTCAGCAGGAACCATCACAATGTGTGAGCATGTGGTGATCAGATGGGAGAGAAAGAGAAGTGGAACAGTTTTGTCATTATGATGAAGGATGGAACTGGAGACTCAAGGGTGGAAAGGAGTAGCCTGTGAGTGGCCAACTCTGCCACCTGAGGCCATGGTGTGGTCCCAGTCTGAGCTGTTCTTGAGGGCCATGACTGAGTCTATGACCATGTGGCAGGGACTGATAAGATGTCCATGTCTCATATTACCTCTAGAGAACATGGGGATATTCACGCTTGGGACAGCTGTCAGGGACCAAGTCATTGTCTGAGGGCTGTGCATACCTGGCCCTGCCCCTCTCTGGATTTGGCACTTTGAAAAGCTGGCCCAATCTCTCACCTGCAGCAGCACTCAGAAGAGCAGGCTCTGCACCTCGCCTGAGGCAGCATAGTGGAGCTGGCCCTGGTTGTAGGTGTGGCAGCCCCAAGAGTGTGAGTGTGGGAGAACTGATTCCACCACTCATCTGCCATGTAGTGTCAGAGGTATAAAGGTGATGCCACCCCCTTGCCATCTCTGTCAGTCCAGAAAGCTACATATAGGGTCATGCTCTTAGGAGAGCTAGCCCCGCCTCTCACCAGCTGCAGCACTAAGGGGAGCTGGCCCTGCACCTTTCCTGGACAGCTCAGCAGAGCTTACCCTGGTGGCAGGGACACAGATGAGGCAGCCCTGAGGGTGAGAGCTCAAGAGAGCTGGCCCTACCACGAATCT